AAATAGGATTTCTTAAAGTAATCCCGTCCCCCCCCAAATATGTGATGCTAAGGTGAACTGATGATCCGGGGCTCCTTTTATTCCTCTGCTTTGCCTTTCCTGGGACAGTCCATGTATCGCTGGATCCTGATTGGTTGGCTGCTGCTCCCGCCCTTCCATTGATTGGCCGAGCACCCCTATCTCCTGGCATGCTGCATGTATTGTATTCATGGCCCAGCAATAAGATGCTCTGAGCCCCTCCTTCATCATGGCGTCTCCGTGTGACAGTCGCTGTCGCCAGGACCTCATGACTCTGTCTGGATTTCAGGTTCTCGAAGGCACCAGCAAAGTTCTGTTTACTGTTTGGCACTTTAAGACGATGGGCTGCTATGGGAATGGAGCAGACAGGGTCAATAACGCAGGGAGAGTGTGGTGAAAGAGGAACGAGGCCATCGACTCTCTGTCCATTTAGCATCAGGTATCGACGGGACTAGCAGGACAGGAGTGGGTTTCAGTGAACGGCAGATATTGATCTCCATTGTCCCTTTTGGCTGTTTGTCAATCCCAAACCCCAAAAAGAGTCTCCTTCTGATGTAGCCCAAATGGGCTTTTAGAAGAAGCAGCTCTGTTGTAGGCACTAAACTTTAGCATTTTCCTGAGGTGTCGTTCTTTATGCAGGAACAGCGAAATGTGGGTGTGGGTTTGAGCAGCCACTGATCATGGGGGGGGGGGATTGCTGATTGGTGTGAGACGGAGATATTCGTAAAGACAGAAGGGAAATCACTTGCATTACTCTTGTCTTGTTAATGTGACAACTGAACTGAAAAAGTGTCCCGTATAACTTGATGTGGTGATTTGCTGTTTCTGCGTCCATCCGTCCCACCATCTTCCAAACCTACTTGAGATGCCTTCTTGATAAATCAATGGCGCTTGACATCACATCAGAAGTTGCATCCAGTGGCCTCCTCCTTCGGCTGCTCCTGGAATTTCTAACGCCAGTTATTAAGCTGAAAATGGACAGTGGAAGCTGAGTCTTTCAGACTTTCAGCTGAGAGGTAATTCTCCCTCACAAGTGCGAGCTCTCGCTTCCTTCTCTGATACCGTAACCAGCTGGAACAAGCAGGTTGTATCACCTGTTCCCAGCAAAGCAACAGTACAGCCATTGATGTGCCCTTTGCACAGCACACTGCGAGCCTTCATACGCGCCCCAACCATGAGTAATTTATTTAATATTTTGGGATGAGGTGAACAAGAAGCTCAGTGTGGAATAAAATATGACTAATGTTTATTTTCAACCTTTATAAATATAAAGTCACTTAAAATACAATAAGGCTCATTATGTCTTTGTTGGAGAAGTAGGTGGCTCTTCAGCCGGGGAGTTGGATAGACTTTATTTCCGCTGTTTCACACCCCCACTCTTGGTCCCACAGGCTGGCGGCGCTGTGCCGTATCCCTGTCCCTCAGGCTGGCGGCGCTGTGCCGTATCCCTGTCCCTCAGGCTGGAGGCGCTGTGCCGTATCCCTGTCCCTCAGGCTGGCGGCGCTGTGCCGTATCCATGTCCCACAGGCTGGAGGCGCTGTGCCGTATCCCTGTCCCACAGGCTGCCGGCGCTGTGCCGTATCCCTGTCCCACAGGCTGCCGGCGCTGTGCCGTATCCCTGTCCCACAGGCTGGAGGCGCTGTGCCGTATCCCTGTCCCACAGGCTGGAGGCGCTGTGCCGTATCCATGTCCCACAGCTCCTCCTGCCTGCTGCTCATTTTTAGCATCACTCATCGTAAGTAAGGATGCGGTTTAGCTGTGGGGTCCGTGGTGCAAACACATATAAGAAAGAACAGACAGGCTTGTGCTGCGACTTTGTTGCACTGGAGATTTCTTGATGACTTGCTGATGCCCAGGGCAGAGGCTTTACGAGGGGCAGGGGAAGGGATCCTCTTGAAACGAAATTCAACCGGGTTGTGGTGATTATTGGTGCTCAAAAAGAGGCACTCAGGATGGCAGATGGCCAGCACTTTCGAGCAAAGGGGACAGGTGCCCACACCTCCTTACCAATGCATGTTGCTCACTCAGCCAAAATGTGCTGTGGCCTTCAGGACTCATAACTCATCCCTTTGCCGCTTAGCCACCACTTGACAATCGATTAATACCCGAGTGTTTCTGTAGCACACTGCCCACTGGGCAAAGGGTGAGGACATCAGGTAGCATAAACACCGAGTTTCCGACATGGTCCAATTGCTGCAAGATTCCTGCCCAGTTTCAAGAGGGAAAGAGCCTGCTCAGGCATTAAATGGCTGCACCATCCAGGCCCCCACCCCCCCCCCCGAGCAGAGCAGCCTTCCTGAGCACAGCAGCCTTCCTGAGCACAGCCATGCTTTCACTCATTCCTGCTCATTTCTCAACACCCACCATTCATCCTTGGGAAAGCAGGCAATACTTGCTTGGTGATATTTGCTCTGAGTATGTATCAACCTTCAGGGAGCAAATCTCACATGGCGTGCAAACAGGACAAAGGAGCAGCTGTGAGTAACTGGAGTTGCATCAGTCTTGGGCCATCCGTGTTTTAGCCTCCCGAACATGGAATTTACCGTGAGCTCATGGTAACCTCACCCATCCTCAGTCGCATCCTCGCAATCAATGTTTATATTCGAATGCTGTTTTGAAAAGGCAGAGTCTCCAGTCGAGGTTTTGCCAAACTGTAGGAGAGAAGTACCTTTGCCAGACAGCTTGGTAAAGACCCGGAACTAATTGTATTCCAAATAACTGTTTGGTTTTTAATGGCAGCTCTGCTGTTCTGGGCCAGGACAGCAGGACACTGAACCAGCCTGAAATTCCCATTTAAAATTTTTTTTTAGGTTATTTAATGGGATGTTTTATTTTTCAGTAAAGGGATTATTCCTAACATATAATACAGTGCTCACTTTAGAGGAAGCTTTATCTGCACTTCAGTCTGCTCATGTGTGTACTCCACGTTAGTCCCTTTAGTTACCGTATCTGCTGTATTTAAGTCATTAATGGCTGCAGCCATGTGTTCAGGCAACTGTGAAGGCTTTGGCTTTGTGGCACGTGAAGAGTTCACATTGTGAAAGACCACCTTCGGCTGAGCTCAGACACTCCATTTCTTCGATTTGTTAAGCGTCATCTCATCTGAACAACTGACGAGCATCGGTAAGAACAACATTCATGAAACTACCTCTTCGACACAATGGGCAAATAATGTAAAAGAGAAATTAAAAAGCTTTAAGTACATCTACCCATTGATCTGTTTGGGTAGATATTTCTCCTGCAGGACCATCTGAAAGTAAATGATTTTGTTTTTGTAATTTGCTGCTCCTGACACTACATGCTTCTGTAGGTATTTATACTAAATAATAATAATTAAAGGTCCATTGTTTCCAGTTGATGTAAACCCTGGGAATTTGCTAACTGGACTAGTAAGCTAAACTTTGCTAATATATGCTAATTCAGCAGATGCTTCCTCATTTTCTTGCAACTCGGTTTTTTTTAATAGATTATCACTTTTTAAAAATTTCATCACCACTTTCGAATCAAAGCCCTGTTTCTGCATCCCAAATACAACAGGAAAGCAAACCTAGCCGCAGTCGTCCTTACTTGTCCTCCTTTGGCCCACTTCTTGGAAGAGCAAGCAGTTGAAATAGATATATCTCCAGCCTTTCCCCCATCTTCTCCCATCTTGTTTTATTTAAAGTGTCCTTTATATCGACTTACCCAGCACCTGACCCCTCAGTCTTCAGAAGGGTTCTGCTCACCTGAGACTTCTGGCTCCACGGTTCCGCTTGCGGGAGCGTGACCCAGGTCCCTTGGATCCGTTACAGGAAAACAGTGTGGGCCGGAGATGCTCCTCACAGTCAGGGGATCGAGATTATTATTCACATCCTGCTGTTTACCTTTTATTTCATGAAAGTCATTTTTGCCTTTCAGCTTCCATAATGATAGCGATGTGGTTATCATGCGATACAACTGCGATTCTGAACGTTGTCATGTCTGCGCGTGCGCATGTGGCGCGTGACATCAGGCCTGCTAATATGTCCGCTCTCTGAGTCTCTGGCAGGCTCTCCTTCCACATTTCGTCAGATGAATGAAAGCCTCAGGGCTCATTAAACCTCAGAAGGTTATCTTCCCTCGGGTAGTGAGTTGCCAGCTCTTGCCCAGGCTGCCGAGACCTGACTCTGATTGAGGTGACTCTGATTGAGGTGACTCTGATTGAGGAGTGGGGCACGTGACTCTGAACGCTGATGCTTTGATGAAGCTCACAGAATTGGTTGTAACCCCTTGTGTCCCATTCCCCAGCCCCACATTCCTTCCATATCTCCTGCTCCCCATTTGTTAAAGCAGACCTTCTCCCATGTCTCTCCCCGATTGCTTACACCACTTCAATGATATACGTTCCCTTAGCTGCCCCTTTATTATGTACCCATATGTAGTGCCTAGCAGGACCTGTTTTATCTCCCGAAGTACTTTGAGGGTAGATGAGTCATTCAGAGAAACCATTCTGCACACCTGCTCTACTGAGCTATTATTTTTGCACTTGTGGCCTTCCTATTAACTTTAACAAGTCTGGCCGCTCTCCTCTGACTTCTTTCATTAAGTTGTTTTCAGTCACATGAATGCCATTGATTGGATGTTTTTGTTCATCACATCTCTGTAAACTCTAGACACTGTTGTGTGTGTAAGTCCCAGGAAGGTGGCTGGTGCTCAGACACCTGAATCACTAATCGCACTATTTTTGATTCACTTCAATCACGTGTCTTAAGGGATCCTGTAATGAATCCTCAGGACCTGCTGACCCTGTCTGTGTGCCGCACGTATTCAGTTGCGGCCACATGATTCCCATTGTGGAGGAACAGGCTGCTTGCATTAACAAGCATGTGTACTGAATGAACTAGCCACTGAATGTGTGGTTTATATAACAGTGCAGCTATTATTAAGCTGTTGAGAATATAATCCTCCCTCAATCTATCCATCTTCTTACATTGGAAATTCTGCATTGAGGTTGATACACATGCTGGAATCTGTGATTTATTTGAAAGTAGATGTGAAAGAGATTACGGCAGTGTTTTTTTAAATGTGGTTTCCCTTCGGATCTCTGACACAGTAATAAAAAACAGACTCTGCGTCTAGTAGTAATGCAAAGTAATTTTTCTTGATTGGTATGATATATTTCCTCATGAAAGTGCTGTACCTGAAAAAAAAAATGTCTTTCTTAAGCATTGCGCACTGTCATACCTCATCAGTCTTGTCCCTTCTCAACTAAAACCGCACTTTTTTTTTGTTCTCTGAGTACAGATATTACTTCAGAGACTCTATTGCCTTGAGGGACCGTACATTCCACATGCATTGGTATGACAAAAGGTGCATTTGCCTCTTATTTGTCTTCCTCCTGTCATTTGAGGCGTTCCCAGTATAAGTATTCAGAATGGGGGACCTTACGCATGGAGTGGTCATGCCATCTTCCTGTGGACCGTAAACATGTTGTGGTCACCACTCTTGTCAGCAGGGGCATCAGCAGCCTGTAACACAGAAGGATGTTCTCAGGAGTACAAACACATTCGTAATTCTGAAAAAAAATGATAGGAAAAAAACACGGTGTTCCCATGTACGGTTCAGGGGCGTAATTTCGGAATGCTGTCCGTCTGGTTGCGCTGCTCCAACCGCTTGGCAGCTCTTTCCTCCCTGTGTGGGAACTGGGATGGCGCTGCCAAAGATTTACGTCCTGGCTGTGCCCTCCGGCTAATCCGCACGTGTATCGGATTGCCGTCTGCCTGTCGACGCGGCCGCAGGGCCGGGAACGGCACAGCTGTACTGGAGAATCCAGGGGTGGTGCTGAGTCAGGATTCGGGAACAGGGATCCTGTTTGATGTCCTTATGTCTCTTTTCTCTGGGGGGGGTGACAGTCCTTCAGAATGTGCTGCAGCCAAAACATTGTGGCCCATGTAACACGCTGGTCATGAAAAGTGGTTGGTCCCAGAAGTGACCAGTGATGAACTCCAAATATAAAAATATGACTTTTCTGTCTTCAAAGCCCTCCCCACCCATATGGTTCCTACTGGATGCTTTTGATGACGTGAAGTGCTGACATTTTTTTTTGGGGGGGGGGGGGAAGCTCAGGGCAAATGGCAAATAGCAGAGATACCCTGCAGAGTTGGTCTGAGACCCATGACTGTAACTGCAGCTTCTGAAGCAGAACTGCTGGCCCCTACCTGCTCACCTCCATCAGGTCCACAGCTCGCCTGTATCTCTGCATGTAGCTTGCTTCAAACGTACCATTCAACATGATTCCTAATTGCATTTTTTTCTTGAGTGAACAATTAGCAATTAGAAATTTGGAGCAACTGGCACTCGGCAAGTCACTCACCTGTGCTGTAACTCAGGTTATTACTGGGTCAGTCACGTGTTCTATAACCCGGGTTATTGCTGGGTCTGTCACCTGTTCTGTAACTCAAGTTATTACTGGGTAAGTCACCTGTTCTGTAACCCAGGTTATTACTGGGTCAGTCACCTGTGCTGTAACTCAGGTTATTACTGGGTCAGTCACCTGTTCTGTAACCCAGGTTATTACTGGATCTCTCACCTGTGCTGTAACCCGGGTTATTGCTGGGTCACTCGCCGTGCTGTAACCCGAGTTATTGCTGGGTCACTCGCCGTGCTGTAACCGGGTTATTACTGGGTCACTCGCCGTGCTGTAACTCGGGTTATTACTGGGTCATTCGCCGTGCTGTAACTCGGGTTATTACTGGGTCCCTCGCCGTGCTGTAACCGGGTTATTACTGGGTCACTCGCCGTGCTGTAACCGGGTTATTGCTGGGTCACTCGCCGTGCTGTAACCGGGTTATTGCTGGGTCACTCGCCGTGCTGTAACCGGGTTATTGCTGGGTCACTCGCTGTAACTGCTGGCATGAGACTGATCCCCTTGCTGTCAGGGGTGTCCTGCCTAAGACAGCAGGGTGATTACGCTCACAGTTCTTCTGGTGTCTTGCATAACCCCTGAACTGGGGTAAAAGTTAAGCATGTGGCTAGTTACAGGATAACTTAGTGCTCAGCCACTTAGAGACAGTTTAACACCAAAGCTTAACTTTTTAGCAAACAAAAAAAAACATTTTTCCTGGTGCTTCACATCGCCTTTGGCAGATATGAATAGCTTGAGAGCTGCAACTTAGGTATAAGGTGTTTAAGTGGAAACCGGTTCCCATTTTAAACAGAAAATGAAGGAACCCCCCCCCCCTCCAGAGCTGTTTATCCGTTGGAGGTGTGCTCTGGCAGACGGAGTCACCTGGATGAGGAGGCTTGTTTGTGCAGGTATCCTCCCGCCCACAGGGACCTGCTGCGGAACCTGGGGCGAGGGCGCCAGTGCTGGGAGAGCAGCTGTATTTAGAGCGCCCCCTATCCCCCCGGAGATGTGGATGAGACGGGAAGGAGTGAGGGCACCTCCGCAGGACCTCTGCAAACACAACAGCCCACTGCAGCACTCAGTATAACCCTGCCCCCCCCCAGCCATCCATATACTGTTTACCACACAGATACACGCATCAAGGCACAAATTACCATTGTGTTTTTATCCTAACATACCATTTGCTATTTAGTTTATTTCTTGGGATTTTCAGTTTTTTTCGTTCAACGCTACATAAATGAAAAGTTTAAGATTAAGCGCACAGGATCCATCCTGCTGTTAGCCATTGCCATGGCAGCAGCAAGGCAGAAGAGCAGCCCTGGGAGGGAATTCACCGCCATTAAATTGCCAGGAAGGAAGGACACATGTCTTTTGCCTTCGGTTGCTGTGTGAACCTACTAACTGATGGGGGTTTCATAACAATATCAGCATTTGCTTGACTGCATGCTGGTCAAAAAATTAAACATATGTGGAGTTTGCATGTTCTCCCCGTTTCCTCCTGGTTCTCCAGATTCCCTCTGGAGTCCAAAAACATGCCGAGGTTATTTGGAGTTGCCAAATTGTCCGTAGGTGTGTGAATAGGGTGTGTGGGCTGATTGGTCCTGGGTTATTTCCTGCTTGCACCCATACTTTGGTCCCCCGTGACCCTGCATGGGATGAGTATTCTTAATGAGATCTTTTTGGCACCAAATTAAAAAGTATTTACTTTTTTTTTGGATGTGAATTCTGTGCCCACAGGATGGCCATGGGCATAGCCCTCATGATCGAAAGGGACAGCACCCACTTTCTACGGAGGCTGGCATTGCTGTCATGTAAGCTAAAGGCTACCTATTAAGACCGGCCCAATGTTCAATGATCATGGCGGTGACCGTGCTCCCCCTCCCCGCCCTGCACGGTGATCTTAAAGCTGCCAGTACACTGGACTTCATGCTCCTAGTTCCTTTCATCTGTCCTTTGTTCCTTCATAGCATTGTCCCTTTTAAAATCAGTTCCGGCCAATGGCCATTGAAAGAGGACCGATGCTTGTCAGGCTGATGGCCGGTATAGCCAAATAATGATGGCAGCACTGAGGCTCATGCCCCTGGGACGGCTGCAGCCTCCAAGGACCTGCTGGGCCACAGGAGGACTTGCCGGCAATCACTATTATCTTTCCTGTGCAGGAAGTACATTCACTCCCACTGGTTTTCCCGTCATCCTGATCCGTCAGACTGATGAGTGGGGTCAGTTACATTCCCAGACACACTGACAGCTGTTACCCCACCGTCCCTTAAAAACAGAAACGCACGAGATTCCGAATAAAAGACAGAGCGATTCATCTGATGCACAATTACACGTCACAATGGGCAATGAAGGAATGCGTCGTTTGTTTTGTTAAGTGGGAAGCGCGATGTTAATGTCGCAGGACGGAGCGGGATGGAACGCTACTGAACGCAAAGTGAAAGTAAACATCATAACTCACAACCCTCCGGGACTGTGGCAGTATGAACGGCAAGTGCCTGCTCAAGCCATGCTGATGGCACAATGCAAATGAATGCAGAGATGTAGCGATCTGTCTGTGCAGCCGATGCCCATTTGTTGTAGTGAGGCCCCACGCAGACAGATGCTTATGAGCGCCCAGGGGCATCTGCCTGACTGCGCAGCCGGTGTGTGTGTTTATGGTGGTGTGGTACAATGCAGATGTAGCTCGTTTGATTACAGACTCAACGCGGGTGCTTGTTTGAGATTAATAACCCACACAAAGCTGCAATCTGGCATTGGATATATCTGGATTTTGGCTGCATTGGTCCATTGTATCAATAGAGAGTTTATCACTGCAGAGTGTTTGTTACAATGCTGCACTGCATCAGTAGTTGGGAGACCAGCTAGGAAAGCTGGATTGCTGATAGAAGAGGTGTGGGCCAACAGGTCAGCCCATCCTGTGGTCCGTGTGGATCCAAATGCCCCAGTGCAGTGACAGGAACACTGTGCTGTAAACATGGCACCATCCCTTGGATGAGATGTAAAACTCTCTGAAGTCATAAAAGATCCCTGGGCATCTTTCAAAAGAGTAGGGGTGGTACCCTGGTGCCCTGGCTAAAATTGCCCACTGTGGCCCTTTCAAATCTGGCCTCCTAATCATCCCCTGTATCTAATTGATGAATTGTACCCATTCACCACCTTAGCTATTGTGTAGTGAGCGTACTGGTGCAGAATGGCTGTTGTCATCCTGGTGGGTGCTACACATCGGTGGCTGAAGTGGCTCCCCATTGGTTCTGTCAAGCACTTAGGGTGTCTTGAAAAGTGCTATATATATGTAACATTGATTCACATTCATCCACCTCCCTAAAGCGCTTGTCTAGCACAGCATCACAGTGGGCCTGGATCCTACCCCAGGCAGGGCAGAAGCCACTCTCAATGCGATACCACTTCATCACAGGGAAATCAAACACATACACATTCCAGATAATGTGGAAGGTGTCGATAATTTAGGTCCAGAAAGTAAAAATCCAGAACAAGATTTTCTTTCAACCAACCAGTTGAGCATAAAGTCACTGTCACAGGGTACTCAGATAGCTGGTTGAAAAAATCTTGTGCAGGATTTTCACTTTCTGGACCTGAAACATCCAGCTCTGTAACATGAGGGGGCTAGTTCACCCAGCCACATGGTATTTGGGACAAGAGCAGTGGGTGGAATCGCACTTGCACAGAGAGATTTGAGAGCAGGAATCAAACCCACAAAGCTGCAGGTTTGAGGGCAGGGTGCTGCAGATCGAGCCATCGTGCCCGTTGTTAGTCTGTCTATCACTTGATATTGTCTGGCTCTAGTCACTTGAGGACGTGCCTGCAGGCAGAACAGCACAGGATGTGAGCATCGGGAAGGCAGTAGAGCACCTTCACCTTCAGGAACACGGTGCTGTGTAACCCTTCAAGATATCTTCACTGTTGTTACCTACTCCTGCTGGTCCACCAACCCTTCTGCTGGCTTCCTCATCCACAGACGCAAGATCTGACGAATGAGCTTGGAAACTTAATCAGAAGTTTATGGACTTAGCTGATGTTAGAAGAAAATAGTGCTGGTAGACTCCAGATTATTGCAATGTATGTTGGGTCGTATATTGATTCCAATTTTGACTCTAAGAGGTGGAAATTGAACTAAAACCTACACTTATCCATCTTCCAGCCGCTTGTCCCATGCGGGGTCACAGTGACCCCAGTCTGTCGCCGATGGCTGCAGCTGCACCTTCTGTCCTGTCTGTCCCACTTCTGTCCCGAATTGCACAGGACAAATCACAGGAAATGCTCTCCACTGCCGCATATTAACTGAGGAGATGCATTCATTGCATACATTAATCATGCCCAGGGAGCTTTATCTCACCTTGTGCTGAGAGCAGAATAGAAAAGTGCTGTGCTTCACACTTGGGGGGGGGGGGGATTTTAACCCGTCACCCCGTCCATGCATATTTAAGGAAGACCTACTTCCAATTCTGGGGAGCATCTCTTACCTTCCGTTCAGTCACGATAAGAGAGTTCCAGATAAGGCCCTCCCTATACATTCGGCGTGGGGGTGTGTGCGTGTGGATGTGTCCGTGGGTGTCCTGTTCATCTTCTGTCCTTCTGATTTATTCTCCAGGGGCCCCTTCAGTGACTCCGTTACATTCCAAACAGTCAGGAATTTTGCCGCTATGGCATCCTGACCGATTTGGCGACTGGAGGTCAGGGTGTGATGTATGCTTAATGCTTCCTCACAAAGCGGACCGATTCGCGACGCGAGGCTTCCCTGGGACAGGGGGAGATGATTTAGCATAGGCAGGTTTCCTCTGGTGGGGTGGGGGTCTTCCGGCTGCCGGAGAGGAGGCCGTCACTTGCAGCCCGGTGCTGTTGAGACCGAGGTCAGCTTTGCAAACGCTTCAGTCTTATCCGCCAAAAAAGTTTTTTTGTGCTTTTTAACTGGCATGTTAAAGAAAAATAGGAATCCTGACCTGCAGTAAATGTTAACTGGAGGCTAAACTCGAGTACTGGGGGGTGTGGGTAACATGGGGGTTTTATGGACTGGGTTATGAGTGGTGCTGCTCTCTTATTGACTGACTCGTGTGAGGAGAGCGGTAATTAAGTGTGAGCCTGGCTGTCATGGGTTGGGGTCATGCTCTGTTTACGGTGCTGTGCCTGGGGTCAGCTGGCTGAAATCTGATGTGATGGAGGACGGTCACGGTTCCAGACACGGCTCTCACGGGTCACTTCCTCCGTAAAGAAATAGGCGACGGCGCTCAGGGTAGGGGGGAAGCTGTCAGCGGGGGGCAGGGAGGGGGTGTTACGCATCTGTCAACACCCTGTTGGTGGTGGTGTACATCTGTGAGGTGACAATCCAGGGCAGGAAACCCGCTGACTGTGGAATGAAGAGAGGAGACAGAAAGCTAAACACGGGCCGGGCCAAGCCGGGCCGGACCGGGGCTCAGCAGGTCAACCCAGTGCGTGCGTGTTTGTGATTGAGTTGAAACAGACTAACCATTTTTTTCCGGTTTCCTTTCAGATCTCAGTGATTGTTCCCTGTACACAGAGCAGCACTGAAGCCTGAGTCATCACTTACAGTAAGGTATGATCCGCACTCTGCTCTTTCTGAGGACAGGAAAGGATATTGGGTCCTAAATAAACCAACTGCAGTCATTTTCTATAGCACCTGTTGTCACTTTTCTGGAAAATTCTATGTTCTGCACCAGAAGGCTTCTGCGATATGAGGCATCCGAGGGGGTGGGTGACATTTGGAGTTGGCCCTGCCATGTTGAGACTTTGTTGCGCGCGCTTGGGGTATCATGGATGGTGGTGGCCATCTGCATGTTGATGGTTCTCTCCAGGCCGCTTCTAAGGCCCCATGTGACATGTGACTAGGCCCCTCGCTTTCAGATCGACAAGCACAGGGGACACAGGAGGTAGGACGTTTCCAGCATAACCTGTGGTGTGAGTCGCCCTTTTATTTCAGAAATGTTGATTCTCAATATCTCAATTATTTAGAAGGGCAGCGTTTCATGGGGATGCAAATGCTTTTTTTCTTAAATGCAGTTGTGGTGAAATGTCA